GCAGAGGTCATCTTTACACCTTTGGGGACCCTAAAGGGGCCGACCAGCTCTGTTCCCATGATTCCGGCCCAAAACATGACTCCACCACCGCCTTGCTGACGTTGCAGCCTTGTTGGAACAGGGTGGCCGTCCACCAACCATCCACTACTCTATCCATCTGGACCATCCAGGGTTGCACGGCACTCATCAGTGAACAGGACTGTTTGAAAATTAGTCTTCATGTATTTTTCTGCCCAATGCAGCTGTTTTTGCTTGTTAGCATTGGTTAGTGGTGGCCGAATAGAAGGTTTATGCATAGTTGCAAGACTCTGGAGGACTCTACACCTTGATGTCCGTGGGACTCCAGCGGCACCAGCAGCTTCAAATATCTGTTTGCTGCTATGTAATGGTATTTTAGCAGCTGCTCTCTTGATCCGATGCATGGATCTGGCAGAAATCTTCCTTAATGTGCCTTTATCTGCATGAACCCGTCTGTGCTCTGAATCAGCAACAAATCTCTTAATAGTGCGATGATCACGCTTAAGTTTTCAGGAAATATCTGTTTTCATACCTCGTCCAAGGCATTGAACTATTTCACTCTTTTCGGCAGCAGAGAGATCCTTCCCCATATTGCTTGAAAATGGTGCGCTGCTTAATAATGGGAGCACCCTCCTTTAGTAGTTTTTCCTTAAATTTGGCTCACCGGCCAATCTATTTATCACAGGTGTCCGAGACTGTTTTCAGTGATCAAAAGAGCCCTGAGACACAATGCCATCCATGAGTTAAACTAAAAAACAAAATATTTTAATCTTTGTGACACTTAAATAGAATTTGCATAATAAGTTGGAACACGGTGTAGTGCCTGTGGTCAGCAGGAGGAGAAAATGTGCCTCATCATTGGTGTCAGTGGAAGGAATAGTGCTCCATCATTGGTGTCAGTGGGAGGAACAGTACCCCATCATTAGTGTCAGTGGAAGGAATAGGGTTCCCCCACTGCTATCAGTGGGAGGAACAGTGCCCCATCATTGGTATCAGTGGGATGAATAGTGCACCATCATTGGTGTCAGTGGAAGGAATGATGCTCCATCATTGGTGTCAGTGGAAGAAATAGTGCATAACCATTGGTGTCAGGTGAAGTAATAGTGCCCCATAATTGTTGTCAGTGGAAAGGATAGTGAGCCATCACTGGTATCAGTGGGATTAATAGTGAGCCATCACTATTATCAGTGGGATGAATAGTGCACTATAATTGGTGTCAGTGGAAGGAATGATGCTCCATCATTGGTATCAGTGGGAGGAACAGTGTCCCATCATTGGTATCAGTGGAAGGAAACCGTGCCTCATTGTTAGTATCAATGGGAGGAATAGTGCCCCATCATTAGTATCAATGGGAGGAATAGTGCCCCATTGTTAGTATCAATGGGATAAATAGTGACCCATCGTTAGTATCTATTAAAGGAATAGTGCCCCATCATTGGTATCAATGGGGGAATAGTGCCCCATCATTGGTGTCAATGGGAGGAATAGCGCCCCATCACTGGTGTCAATGGTAGAAAAAGTGCTTCATCATTGGTTTGAGTGGAAGGAATAGTGCCCCAACTTTGGTGTCAGTGAAAGGAATAGTGGTCCATCACTGGTGTCAGTGGAAGGAATAGTGCCCCAATGTTGGTGTCAATGGGAGGAATATTGGGCTTATACAATGTATTAAACTTACCAATATAGCCAAAGGTTTGTGGACACCCTGCAAATATTGGGTACGGGGGTCTCCAATGAACTAGGCACTGTTAACATTACACCATTTAAAGACATTTTAGACAGTTGTGCTCTTCCAATCTAGTGACAACACTTTGAAGAAGGCTCACTTACTGTATGTTTCAGCATGAGTGTGTCCTGTGTACAAAACTCCATAAAGACCTGGTTTGATTGAATTAGTGTAGAGGAAATAGAGTAGCCTTCACAGAGCCCTGAACTCAACCCTACTGAGCACCTTTGGGATAAACTGGAACTCCCATGGTGAGCCAAGTCTTCTCAACCAACATCAATACCCAACCTCACAAATGAGGACAAATACCCACAGACACACATTTAAATTTTGAATTTTGGGATGAATTAGAATGCCAATTGCAAGCCAGGTCTTCTCATCCAACCTTACAAATGAGGACAAATAATCATAGACACACCTCGGCATTTTGTGAAAAGCCTTCCCAGAGGAATAGAGGATGATAAAGCCACAAAGGTGGACCAACTCTATATTAATGACCATGGTTTTAGAATGGGATGTCCAGCAAGCTCATATAGGTGTGATGGCCAGATGTCCACCATTGTTTGACCATATAGTGTTTATTTCCACAACACTCCACATATGAGATGAGTGAGTTCCTATTTCCATCTGTATGTTATACATGAGTGCCATAACTCTTTTCCAAATATAAGGGTTTATTTTACATACATTTGTTGTATTTCACATTATTACATAACATATGTGGTGCCTATCTGATCAGCTTTTTTTAGCAATTTAACTTCCCTGTGAAAGTGAAACCACTTAGAAGGCTTTGGTGGTTCTATAATAACCACATTTAAGACTGATCTAGACACAGAGACTACAAACAAGTCTTCACCCTCTTACTGCCTGGTTGTCTTCTTCTTTTTACATGAAATCAAAGAACAGATGTCTTCATCACATGTTGATTGCTACAAAGATATCTGAATAGACAAGGATATCCTGAAAATAGGTGATGGAAACCAAACCACTATAATCTCATATAAGCATATATATTAACACATTACTTTCATTTGTAAAGTCAACTCCATTTTTAAAAACATCTGTGACCAGAGAGGTCCTTATTCAGGCCATTAACTAGTATAGGTTGACAACGCTCTGTCCCTGTCTCCCAGTTATGCTCCTACATTGTCCCCTTGTACCTGGGCTTCAACACACATGACAAAGGCATTGTCCACTGCTGTCACCATCAGGAAACATGCCAATGCCATGTAGTCATTGCTGGGGTGCACGTAGACAAGAAATGGCTGCAAAGAGGCTTCAGATGATCTCCAGCATTGAGCTGTAACAAAGAATGAAAAACATTAGTAATTTATTTATTTATTTTTATATTATTTATTTATTTATTTTTTAAAGTATTTTACTCATTAAAGCTGAAGTCCAGGCAAACAGCTGAGTTAGGTACACAGATGAAATATATGGGAGCAGTTTTACCCTTGTATTTTTGTCCACCCAGTCCTGAGACTTGTATTTTAATATAATAAATACATGGATTTATCAATATTACATTGGAATACTTTTAAAATATTAAAATACATGCCAATAATGTATTTATTATTATTATTAGTGATAATAATAAGAATAAATATATATATATATTTATATAGTTGAACTCCAGGCTGATAAAAAGATACAAATTAAATCGGAGCTGTTCTACCTGTCCACCCAGTCTTGAAATGTATACTTTACTATAATAGATACATGTAAGCATTTATCAATAAAACATTGAAATGATTAAAATAAATAAAAGTAAAAAATGTATTATTGTTATAACAATAATAAAATCTATATTATTATAATACATATTTTTAATAAGCTGAGATCCAGGCTGATAAAAAGATACAAATTAAATGGGATCTGTTCTACCTGTCCATCCAGTCCTGGAATTGATATTTTAATGTAATAAATACATGTAAGTATTTGTTAATTAAACATTGAAATAATAAGTCAATAATTTACTACTACTATTATTTATTTATTTATTACAGGTTCTTATATAGCGCTGTCAATTTACGCAGCTCTTTACATATATATTATACATTCACATCAGTCCCTAACTCTCAAGGGGTGTACAATCTAAGGTCCCTAACATTCATACATACACATATTAGGGCCAATTTAGACAGGATCCAATTAACCTGCCAGCATGTCTTTGGAGTGTGGGAGGAAGCTGAAGTACCTGGATGAAACCCACGCAGGTACAGGGAGAACATGCAAACTCCAGGCACGTGATGCTGTGGTGGGGATTTGAACCAGTAACCCTAGTGCTGTCAGACGGAAGTGCTAACCATTTAGCCACTGTGCTGCCCCTACTATTCTTTATTTTTTAATACATCATTAACTATTATTATTTTAGCAGCATAAGCACATAAATGTGACTTTGTACCAGCATAGTGGGATTCAATGTACACCAGAGCTCAGACTTGGGTAGGGAGAAGCAGAAAGAGGATATCAGTTGAGTAACAGTGCAATTCTTTTCTCAGTTCTTGTTCTGTATCTATGGACTCTGTACCACTTCTCTTGTCCTGTATGCTGGGTGTAAATTAATAATAATATTAATAATAATAATAATAATATGTATTTAAAATTAATTATTAGTATATATTCTTCTTCTTCTTCTTAATAATAATGATATTAATTGGATTAGCTTTTATATTAGTCTAAAGTTCAATTTAATAATACTACTTAAAATATGAATCATAATAGTTAATAATAATAACAATGCAATATTCTTCTTATTATTATTAATAATAATAATTTATCTTTTCTATTTTTTACATGATTTCAATGCATTACTATGAAATATTTACATATATTTATGATATAATACAAATAATGATTCACATTTATATTAAGGTTTTAATGTAATTAAAGAAAAAAAATACTCATTAAAAACAAATATTAACATGTTTTAAAATGGCTATATTCCCAGACGCAGTATCAGAATGATGACATCTCCCATAATGCAGTGGGGCGTCGGGGTGAAAGGGAGTGGTGTGTCCCATTAATCCTGAGCTGGCTGCTGTGTGATGTTTAGTCAGTGCAGTCTTTGTGTGGAATGTTGATTCATGCAAAATCTGAGGGTGGTGAGCGGCCTGGAGGGGGCAGTGAGGATAAAATCTCCTATAGAATTCCCAGCAAACTGAAACTGCAACCAAGATCATTCTACTGATCAACAGTCTGTCTGTAATGAACACACGTCTGCAGCACTTGCTGGATCATGTGATCACATTCAATGCTACAATGTCATCCAGGTATATAACCTAGTGCAAAAAGGGGGGGTGTCATCCACAGCAACCAATCAGATCCCAGATGTCACTTGTAGTTTCCATACATACAGAATAGGAACAGATACTGAGAATGACACCCGGCATCCAGGACAGAAGAAGTGGGACTGTGCAGAGTCCATACAGAATAGGAACAGATACTGAGAATGACACCCGTCATCCAGGACAGGAGAAGTGGGACTGTGCACAGTCCATACATACAGAATAGGAACAGATACTGAGAATGACACCCGTCATCCAGGACAGAAGAAGTGGAACTGTGCAGAGTCCATATATACAGAATAGGAACAGATACTGAGAATGACACCCGGCATCCAGGATAGGAGAAGTGGAACTGTGCGGAGTCCATAATACAGAATAGGAACAGATACTGAGAATGACACCCGGCATCCAGGACAGGAAAAGTGGGACTGTGCAGAGTCCATACATACAGAATAGGAACAGATACTGAGAATGACACCCGGCATCCAGGACAGGAGAAGTGGGACTGTGCATAGTCCATACATACAGCAATCCTACTTCTCTCCACCTTGCTGTATAATACAGTGACAGATGCAGTGCAGAGGAGGAACACAATCACTGCTTCTTGTTGACAATTAATTGCCATCCAGTCATTGTGTTGCACATGTCACATCATGGCAATACGAGACATGGAACCATCTGGCTTTTCTGTCTTCTAATTCATTGATGTTTTCAACTGAAGTGTGACAGATGATGGTCCTCTCTTGGTGATAAATTATGATAAGATGGTCCATCTACAGTGACAGATGATGGTTCCCTCTTGGTGATGGTACCCTGTTGGTGACAGATGTTAATCTCCCCTTGGTGACAGATGTTAGTCCCCTCCTGGTGACTGATGATGTTCCCCAGTTGGTGACAGATGATGATCTACTCTTGGTAACATATATTCTCCCCATTGTGATAGATGTTGGTCCCCTCTTGGCAACAGATGGTAGTCTACCCTTTGGTGATAGATGTTAGTCCGCTCCTGGTGACTGATGATGTTCCCCAGTTGGTGACAGATGATTGTCTCCTCTTGGTGATAGATGATGGTCCCCTTATGGTGACAGATGATGGTTCCCTCTTGGTGACAGATGTTAATCTCCTCTTGGTAACAGAAGATTGTCCCCTCTTGGGGACAGATGTTGGTCTCCTCTTGGTGACAGATGATGATCCTCACTTGGTGACAGATGATGGTCCCCTCTTGGTAACAGATGATGGCCCCCTCTTGGTGAAAGACGTTGGTCCCGTGACAGATGTTGGCACCCTCTTGGTGACCAATGATGTTCCCCTGTTGGTGACAGATGATGGTCCCCTCTTGGTAACAGATGATGGTTACCTCTTGGTGACAAATGTTAGTCCCCTCTTGGTGACAGATTTTTAAAATATTTATTTATTCTTATATAACGCCACCAATTTACGCACTTTACATGCCGCGGTTGGGCTTCAACCCGGTGCTGCCAGGCGGACATGCTAACCATTTAGCCACTGATAGTCTCCCCTTGGTGACAGATGATAGTCTCCCCTTGGTAACAAATGTTAGTCCCCTCTTGGTGACAGATGATAGTCCTCTCTTAATGATAGATGATGGTTCCCTCTTGGTGACTAATATTAGTCCCCTCTTGGTGTCAGATGATGGTCTATGCTTTGTGATAGATGTTAGTCTCCCCTTGGTGACAGATGATGATCCCATCTGGTGATAAATGATGGTCCCCTTCTGGTGACAGGAGATGATCCCCTCTTGGTGACAGATGTCGGTCCTAATGGTGACAGATGATGGTCTTCTCTTGGTAACAGAAGATGGTCCCCACTTAATGACAGATGTTGACTCCTTTTGGTTACAGATGTTGCTCCTCTCTTAGTGCCGTATGATAGCACCTTCTTGGTGAAAGATGATGGTCCCTTCTTGGCGATAGATGTTGGTTCCATCTTGGAGAAATATGTTGGTCACATGACAGAAGATGGCACCATGTTGGTGACCGATGATGGTTCGTTCTTTTGACAGATGTTAGTTCCCTCTTGGTGACAGATGATGGTCCCCTGTTGGAGACAGATGGTGGGCCCATCTTGGTGATAGACGATGGTCCCATCTTGGTGATGTATCTTCTTGGTGACAAATGATAGATAAAGAGGGGGGAAAGGAATAGAGGGAAAGGAAGGGGGAAAAGAGGGAGGGAGAGGTAGAGTAATAATAAATGTAGAGATAATATAGAGAGAGGAGGAAAAACAGATGGATGGGAGAGGAGGAAGAACTAGGGAGGAGGAAGAGAGGTGTGGAGGAGAGGGGCCAGTGGAGAGGAAGTAAGGGTGTCCCCAGATGTAGGGGTGATGTGTCTCCGGATGTTGGGTGTGATGTGTCATCAGATGTATTGGTGATGTGTCTCCAGATGTAGGGTGAGGTGACCCCGGATGTAGGGGGTGATGTGACCCCGGATGTAGGGGTGATGTGTCTCCAGATGTAGGGGGTGATCTGACCCCGGATGTAGGGTGAGGTGACCCCGGATGTAGGGTGAGGTGACCCCGGATATAGGGGGTGAGGTGACCCCGGATGTAGGGGGTGATGTGACCCCGGATGTAGGGGGTGATGTGACACCGGAAGTAGGGGTGATGTGTCCCTGGATGTAGGGTGAGGTGACCCCGGATATAGGGGTGATGTGACCCCGGATGTAGGGGGTGATGTGACCCCGGATGTAGGGGTGATGTGACCCCGGATGTAGGGTGAGGTGACCCCGGATGTAGGGGGTGATGTGACCCCGGATGTAGGGGGTGATGTGACCCCGGATGTAGGGGTGATGTGACCCCGGATGTAGGGTGAGGTGACCCGGATGTAGGGGGTTAGGTGACCCCGGATGTAGGGGGTGATGTGACCCCGGATGTAGGGTGAGGTGACCCCGGATGTAGGGGGTGATGTGACCCCGGATGTAGGGGTGATGTGACCCCGGATGTAGGGTGAGGTGACCCCGGATGTAGGGGGTTAGGTGACCCCGGATGTAGGGGGTGATGTGACCCCGGATGTAGGGGTGATGTGTCTCCGGATGTAGGGGGTGATGTGACCCCGGATGTAGGGGGTGAGGTGTCCCCGTATGTAGGGGTGAGGTGACCCCGGATGTAGAGGGTGAGGTGACCCCGGATGTAGGGTGAGGTGACCCCAGATGTAAGGGTGAGGTGACCCCAGATGTAGCGTGAGGTGACCCCAATGTAGGGGTGAGGTGTCCCCGGCTGTAGGGGTGAGGTGTCTCTGGATGTAGGGGGGTGATGTGACCCCGGATGTAGGAGGTGATGTGACCCCGGATGTAGGGGTGAGGTGACCCCGGATGTAGGGGGTGATGTGACCCCGGATGTAGGGGGTGAGGTGTCTCCGGATGTAGGGGGTGAGGTGTCCCCGGATGTAGGGGTGAGGTGACCCCCGATGTAAGGGTGAGGTGTCCCTGGATGTAAGGACGAGGTGACCCCGGATGTAGGGGGTGATGTGACCCCGGATGTAGGGGGTGAGGTGTCCCTGGATGTAGGGGTGAGGTGACCCCCGATGTAAGGGTGAGGTGTCCCTGGATGTAAGGATGAGGTGACCCCGGATGTAGGGGTGAGGTGTCCCCGGCTGTAGGGGTGAGGTGTCCCCGGATGTAAGGGTGAGGTGACCCCGGATGTATGTGGTGGGTGACACATTCAGGAAGTCTCTTCCTCTCTTTGTTGTTTCTCTTTAAGAGGAGATAAAGGCTGAAGAAGGGGCGGCTCCGGGGGCGGGGAATGTTCCTGGAAGGCTCTGGGAAGGCAGGGTGGAAGGAGATGTGTCGGAGGAGGAGAAGGAGGAGGATGGTGGAGGGGGGAGCTCCTCTTATGCACTGCACCGCCTGACAAGAGAGAGAGAAGACCGAGCACCCGGAGGACAGGTACAGCCCGGGGATGGATTGTATGTACGGGGAGCGGAGGGGGGAGGGGCTGGATACAGGACACCGGGATCCCTACACCGAGGACAGGCCTCTCCGCACCGACCATCCATCCGCCCTCTGCCATACAATGCTGCACAGTGATTGGGCGAGGGCTGGTTACTATGGTCTGGTTGCCATGGGATACCTGAAACCCTTACTGTGGTACACCTGGTTACTATGGGATCCCCCATCCCCATGATGGGATGGAATGGAAGCTATATCCTTATTGGTGGGCTGGTTGCCATGGGATACTGCATGCTTAGTTTGTGGAGTCTGGTTGCTATAGGATACTGTGTTCTTGTTGTGTAAGGTCTAGTTGCTATGAGATCCTGTATCCTCATCATGGGAAGAATGGTTACTATGGGATGCTGTATCCTTATTGGTGGACTGGTTGCCATGGGATACTGGGAAATATGGTTATGGCTACAGAATACTGTATCCTTAATATATGAAGGTCGGTTGCTATGGGATACTGTATCCTCATTACAGGAAGAATGGATGCTGTGGGATGCTGCATCCTTATTGGTGGTTTGGTTGCCATGGGATACTGGGAAGCATTATTATTCCTATGGGAAACTATCTTTCTTGTTGGAAGTCTGGTTGCCATGGGATGCTGTATCCTGATAGGGTGAGATCAGTTGCCATAGGATATTTCATCCTTAGTTTATGGAGTATGGTCATATTGGGAAGTATGGTTATTATGGGATACTGTATTCTTATTATGCAGAGACTAGTTGCTATGGGATACTGTACCCCTATTGTATTAGGTCTTGTTGCTATGGCTACTGCATCCTTGTTGTATGAAGTCTGTTTGCTATGGTTTGCTACATCCTTACTATACAAAGTATAGTTGCTTTGAGACACAGTATCCTTAATATATGAAAACTACTTGATATGGGATACTGCATCTGTAGTGCTGGAAGTCTGGTTGCTAAGGGATACTTTTATTCTGATTTATATTTATCCTCAGTTATATATGTAAGGTCTAGTTGCTATGGCTACTGTATCTTTGCTGTATTAAGTCTGTTTGCTATGTGACACTGCATCCCTTTTGTGTTTAAATCTGGTTGCTATAGGATACTCCATCCCTAGTGTGTTAAATCCGGTTGCTATGGGATGCTGCATCCCTAGTGTGTTAAATCTGGTTGCTATGGGATACTGCATCCGTAGTATGTTAAATCTGGTTGCTGTGGGATACTGCATCCCTAGTGTGTTAAATCCGGTTACCGTGGGATGCTGCATCCTGATGTGTTAAATCCGTTGCCGTGGGATGCTGCATCCTATGTGTTAAATCCGGTTGCCGTGGGATGCTGCATCCCTAGTGTGTTAAATCTGGTTGCTATATGATACTGCATCTGTATTGTGTGAAATCTGGTTGCTGTGGGATGCTGCATCCCTAGTGTGT